GATTTTCAAATTGTTCTACCACTCTACAACACTATATGAACGTAACAGGAGAAGTCATTAATCTTCAAGCAGACATTTGAAGGCAAAGTAATAACCACAAAGTAATAACCGTTTCTTTACTGTGGTTAGGAAGTCTTTGTGTGGACCTACAATGTATATGCTTTGTTAGACTCTGTTTCGTGCTTCATCATTAGAATGCCTTGCGTATCTCCTAGGCCTAATGAAGCGGTTTTACTGTCTAACGCCTTCCCCCGAAGTGAGCTAATCTCTAAGCAGATCCTAGGGTGGCAAAAGATCTAGACAGTCTAAAATTGGCCAGGCAGTGTATCCATTGACCAGAGGTTCCAATACGCCAGTGGATACTGCCTGGCCAATTTAATACTGTCTTTTTGCCTCCCTAGGATCTGCTTGGAGATTAGAAGTAAGCCCTTTCCGTCAACAGAGGCCAGACGTTAGTACCTCACGACTCGAACTCGAGCATGGACGTGTCTCATGTCAGATTTCTCACAAGCTTCGAATTCTGACGACTCCATGTTACCTATTTCTAACGTACTCTCAACTTTTCAAGTGTATTTTTTTCACCACGTTACTTTCTGAGAAACGATTTGACGTGCGTCATGACACTAATAGTGAGTCAGTGTACAGATCGCAAGTACCAGTAGAGTGGGCTAAACAAGCAGTTTTACCACCGGTACATAAACGTTAGTACAACACCTTTCCCCGTTCTCACGGTCGGGTTGACCACCAGAATGGCGGACGTGTCGCGGCTTTCCTTATAATAACCGATTGTAAGCAGGTGTTGTTTTCCCTAAGTCTTGAACATACACATAAAAATCCTCCAAGCAACGCTCAAGAACAAAGGTAATTATTATAAGAGGCAATGGTGTAAGGAGAAGTTGTTTTTCCTTAGTCTTGAACATACACATAAAAATCCGCCAAATAACGGCCTTAAACAAAGGTAAGAAGCAAGGCAATTAAGGGTGTAAGGAAAATTTGTTTTCCCTAAGTCTTGAACATACACATAAAAATCCTCCAAATAGCGCTCTTCAACAAAGGTAAGAACCAAGGGTCAGCCTTGTTTTCCCCAAGTCTGAAACATACACATAAAAATCCACCAAGCAACGCTCAAGAACAAAGGTAAGAGGCAATGGTGTAAGGAGAAGTTGTTTTTCCTTGGTCTTGAACATACACATAAAAATCCACCAAGTAACCCTCTTCAACAAAAGTAAGTTGCAAGGGTCAGCCGTGTTTTCCCTAACTCTGAAACATACACATAAACATCCACCAAGTAACGGCCTTGGACAAAGGTAAGAAGCAAAGGTGTAAGGAGAAGTTGTTTTTCCTTAGTCTTGAACATACACATAAAAATCCGCCAAGTAACAATCTTCAACAAAGGTAAGAACCAAGGGTCAGCCTTGTTTTGCCTATGCCTGGAACATACACATACAAACCCACCAAGTAACGGCCTTGGACAAAGGTAAGAAGCACAGGTGTAAGGAGGTAGTTGTTTTCGTTAGTCTTGAGCATACACATAATAATAACTATAAATCAGCCAAGTGACGCCCTAGAACAAAGGTAAGAACCAAGGGTCAGCCTTGTTTTCCCTACGTCTAGAGCACACACATAAATAATCCACCAAATAACGGCCTTAAACAAAGGTAAGAAGCAAGGCAATTAAGTGTGTAAGGAACATTTGTTTTTCCTTAGTCTTGAACATACACATAAACATCGACCAAGCAACACTCTAGGACAAAGGTAAGAACCAAGGGTCAGCTTTGCTTAGCCGCATACACTTGTACAACAAGCTGGCTTGACGTCATTTTATTGTACATCAGTGTAATGTTATACATAAGGAAAGTTTTCGCGGTATTTATGTTAGCAAGGTGTCTGTTGTTTCTCCTGGGTAAAGGGCGGTTACTGGTCACCGATCCTTCCGCTATTTTCTGTTTTTTGATCCGGCTACATTACGGCGCTTCTGACCCGTCAGTATTGTGGGTTGTCGTTCGGTGTTGTTGAGTAGATACAGCTTGTGAACTGTCATATATTGCAGTGAAAATGTGTGGTAGAGGGGGTGCTAACTTATTCTATTACTAATATAACACAAAATTTTATTGTACAGTACATTCAGGTCCTATAGGACTAAGTATATATTCATAGGAATACAAAAGTAGAAATAAAGTGATTTCTGATACTAATTATTTCTCAGAACTATAAGATTTTGTGGGTGTCTTTCTAACTCATGCTTTTCTATGTACACTATCATTTCCTGTGGTAGAGTTTCAAGTCGTCATCCTCCATTTCAGAGGCATATCCGATGTACTAGTAGTTGCTGAGTCATTTCTCCCTTATCTAATGATATAAATCTTTTACAAGTAAAAGTTTATATAAACGTAGATTCACATAAGTTTGCAGTTTTGAGACAAAAGTTACGAAGACAAACGGAAGTACATGTATCTACAGTTCATCACAAAAAGAACTCTGGACGAGCTTCCATTCCATAGCCTATAGTTGAACTTGACTCACGTGTGCGCAAACACACAGACTGACGGGAACAAACACCCATCAGCCCACATGTGAAGTTTATTGTGACTGGACCGCTCTCAGGCCCAGGCTGGTTTATTTGTTCCGTGTCTCGTTCCCGACTTGACACAGCGACATCTTGTTTGCTGTCAACATGTTGTAAAATTCAATTTCGAAGTAGCTGCGGTGCGGATACGGCTTGCTTGGCATTTATTCTGTACCTAGCTTTCAATACTGTTGTTTTTCCTCTCTCTCTCTCGCACTCTCTCCCTCTTTCTCTGTCGCTCTCTCTTTGCCTCTGCCTGTCTCCAGATGCAGCTGTCTCTCTCCCTCTTTTTCTCTCTCTGCCCCCCCTCTCTGTCTCTGCCTCTTTCTGTCTGTCTGTGTCTCTCTCTGTGTGTCTCTCTCTATCTCTCTCTCTGTCCCTCTGTCTTTCTGTAAGTCCGTCTGAGTATGTGTCGATCTTTGTCTACGAATTCCCATGTCAAGTTTATGATTTCATATGTGTTTTGGGTGTCTAAATTATATTTATGACGATTTCTGGATTACAATATTTTATGTTTATCCTGCCTTTCTTCATAAAAGTCTATCCCCACATTCTTTGCGTGATATGTCACAAGTCCCCTCGTCTGTGTTACCCATCAAAGTACATACCGACCATGCCTTGTCCACCTGCCGTATAGATGTTTACATGTACCCGCTATTAGAACGTCAACTTTCCCAAACATCGTATCTTTGAAGCTTAAGGAAATGGAGACAGTGGCGTTAGGAGATCTGGTGATTGCCCAGTTGCATTGTTTTCTTCCGGAAAAGTGGCTGCCCTAACTTGACCTTCGCGTGAAAAGGTCACACACATCGCGAAGGCGCCAAAATACTTAAGGTTGGATGGGTGGAAGTTTGACTGAGGCCAACATTGTGGTGTCAACTGTAGCCCGTGTGTTCACAGCAACCAGACGGCGAAAACATTTGCGGAACGCGTGTGTCTTCTCACATCCGTGCGACGAGGTCTGTTTAGAACATGGCGATGCCGCAACGTTACATATGTTTCATACAGTGATATCGGACTAGCCTCTACGTACCAAGCTTCAGGAGGTGGCTGGAAAGAAGAGAAATTGGTCAAATGAAGAGATAACATGCCGAGGAAGTTGGCTCGCATCAGGGTACGGTAAACTGTACTCTCTAGCGGACCAACTCCCTCGGCATGTTATCCCTCTATTTGGCCAATTTCTAGCCTGGTAGAAGCTAATATCGGACTATCGGATGGCCCTGTGGTGGTTTAGGGTAGTTAACTCAGAATCTAGAGGGTCTCAAGGATTCAAACTAGGTCCGGTACTTAATTAAGGGGGTCTACACAATGCGTATGTCAGGCTAGGGGATCAAACCTTACACTGTGGTCTTACGCAGCTTGTACTTACTGTACAAAACTGGTGGTTTACGTCTAAGTCTAAAGTTTATCGGGTTATGCAATGTAAGCAAAAATGAGCAGAAGCATAGAACGTGTGTATTAAGCGTTGGGCACATCCTAGCATTGAATTTTCACCGATCTCATGCCTGAACGATTCATAGTTCAAACACACTAGATATTTCAATCAACCGGTTCGGAAAATCAGAAATACGCTTGATCCTACCCCCTCCCCTCCCCACTACGTTCCACAGCGCTGCTCCGGTAACCACAAACAACAACAACCTCACAGCTGTCAAGAGAGGACTTAGGTCATTCTCTTTAGGGGTTAGAGTACGACAGGTATCGAACCAGCTGACGGGCGGTACCTTTGTTCTCAGTTACGTTCTGTCAATCAAAGAAAAACCCTTACGTCATACAGGTGTAGGACACCCAGGTCGTGTGATATTCTTTTACACTTTGCCCCTTATTTTTTTCCTCAGTAGTCTTGCAACACGTGCACAAAGACACATGCCGTTATCAGTTGAAACGAGGTCACGTATTCAGTCTCCGTTTGTTTTTGCGGTAACACACCCCTCAGCAGAACAACGACTGTAGGTGTTGTTTACCTTGTTTGTGAATGAAACCGGCTTGCTCCAGTTAATTTTTACAGAGTTAGAATTTTACGTTCAACGTTTGCAGCCATGTGTGTAACATTGACAAAGCCAGCAGGCGTAGGAGCTTTTAAAACTGGCGAAAGTATGACTGTCACATTCTCTTTAGGAAAAAGAAAGGTGGATTACTTGAATGGCTGTTGGGCATATGTGGAGTGTAATGCGAGACGTCGTTTATTTTCCCAGTTTGCATTAGGGCGGGTTTTAGTGAGCTGTGTTTGATTGACATAGCTATCAGGCTATCTTAGGAATCTACCATTCTTGTAGGAGGTCTAACTCGTATAAATTGTGTAAATTTTAGTTTAATTAACATATCATTGTACTCCATTGTGTGTTTTGATTTTATCTTTAAGTAGAAAGTAAATTATTAGCTTTTTAAGGTAAGATAAATGCGTTTATTTATTCCTTGCCTCCCCTTTTTTCAGAATGGTTCCGACCATCTTGCCTGGATGTGTCAGGCTAAGTAAAGTGTAGCGATCCGTCGGCCGGACCGTCAGGGCATCGGAACTGTCAGTGTGGAATGATCCCGAACTCGCCATTTCCTTACGATATTTCCAGTCTTCACGGACGCTGAGAACTTAACCGACAACTTCCGGGCACTCAGAGAAAGGAGAATAGTAGTTTGACGCGCGCGCGCTTGTGGAAAAGAGGGATATCCGTTCCGCCGAGGGCAGAGGGCAGCTCGCTAATAGCCTGGAGTGGTATTGATTCAACAGCTACTGACGACTGGCCTTTGTTTTTTCTCTCGCCGTCAGGACCGGTGTTGACTGTGCGGGACTCAGATGACCAGGAACAGTACGCATCGCAGGCGCACAGCAGTCGGACATGGTGTGGCGACTCTCCGAAATCGACCCCGCTGCTGACTTGAGAGTAGAACTAGACGCCGCAGCGACAGGCCACCCGCCACACGACATGGACACGACGGCGAACAACGCCACGTTCGGCGGAAACGTGTCGGCGGCGAACTGCTCGTACGCCACCGCCAGCTCTTACCCGCGTTCGTGCTCGGCGCCCGCCGACAACCAGTGCCCGCTACCCGGCCAGTCTCCGGCTTCCACCGTCGCTATGTTTACGGTAGGAGTTCTGGGGAACATCATCGCGTTAATAGTACTGTTTCTGAGTCGAAAGAACCACAAGAGAACCGTGTTTTATCTGCTAGTAACGGGCCTGGCGTGGACGGACCTCTTGGGTAAGATCGTGACAACCCCCATGGTCTGGGCGGTGTATATAAACAACATGGAGTGGTTGGGAGGGTGCTACACATGTAACTATCACGGCTGGTCCATGCTGGCCGCCGGCCTCAGTTCTTGTCTCATCGTCTTCGTCATGGCCGTGGAGAGGTTCATAGCCATCAGGCACCCGTATTTCTACAACGTCGGGGTGACCAGAATGAAGGCTAAGATCACCCTGGTCGTCTGCTGGCTTGTGGCGATCCTCATTGCCGCTCTTCCCCTCATGGGGCTAGGCGAGAACGTTATGCACTTCCCGGGGACGTGGTGCTTCTTCAACTTCTACGGTAAAGAGACGACGTCGGTGGTGTACGCTTCTCTGTTCGTGGCGGTGCTCGGAGTCTGCATTCTCGGGACCCTCTTCTGTAACCTCTCGGTGATCGCCACGTTACTGAGGATGAGAAACTCCATCCTGAGGACCAGCTCCGTGAGCCAGTCGGACGACCTGCACAAGAGCGTGCACGCCGTGAGGAACGAGGAGGACTCACCGCGAAGGCGGCGGCGTACCAACGTCCGGGCTGAGACGCAGATGGTGGTGCTGCTGGCCGGGGTGTCCATCATCTTCACGGTGTCATGGAGCCCGCTCATGGTGAGTACATCTTCTTTATTATCTGTCATACGACACTAGCCAAACTGCACATGGTGAGTACATCTTCACTGCGACACTTAGCCTGCATGTCTGACAGTTGTCAGGGTCAGTACACAGGGCTAGTACACAGTTAGACCCTAAAAATTGGAGCCCGCTCATGGCGAGTACATCTTCAACAACTGTCGTGTGACACTAGGCAAACTGTTGTTAGAGGCACTACATAGTTAGGACGGAACTGTGGGGTGTCCATCATCTTAATGGTGTCCTATATCCCTCTACATCTTCATCAACTGTCTTGCGACACTAGCCAAACTGTTGTCAGAGTCACTACACAGATCATCAGAACTGACACGATGGAACTTTGGGGTGTCCATCGTTCTCACGGTGTCCTGGAACCGTCAATATCTTCATCAACTGTCGTGCGGCACTTAGCCTGGATGTCGAACAGTTGTCAGGGCCAGTACACAGGGCTAGTACACAGTCAGACCCTGAAAATTGAAGGGGTGTCCTGGAGCCCGCACATAGTGAGTACACCTTCACACAACTGTCGTGCAACACTAGCCAAACTGTTGTCTGAGTCAGTACACAGTTAGATCAGGAGAGCTGACACGATGGAACTGTCTTACGGCACTTAGCCTGGATGTCAGACAGTTGTCAGGGTCAATACACAAGGCCAGTACATAGTTATACCCTGAGAATTGGTAGAATTTCCTTAATTGGGGATATGTTGCATGTTAGCCCTTGAGTCGAGGGGCTAGCCTGTGTACCGGCCCTGGTATCAGTCTGTATCTAGGCCGTACAACACCCGATGATTCCTCATCACACTCACATTCACAAACAGGAACAGTTGTTATAAAATTCCTCTTCGCATTGTGCTTCACACAAGCAAAACTAATTGTAGTACGGTCTTAATTTTCTCTTCATACATGCAGAAAGAAGTGTCCCACGACACTTAACTCCTTGTTACTACACACAAAGACCCGTCCTAAGATTGACACAAATCGCCACCAGGCCTTGTCGTACATACTAGTATATCGCACGACTCTTTTTGCGTGTGTAAAGTGTGCTGATATTATATACAAGTTTCCCACACTGTAGCTGAACACACAATCGTCTGTCAGGTCAGCGACCTTCGGTTAGGGATCACATAACCCTTACAGACGAAAATTGAGACCTTCTTCACTTTTCCCTTTGTGTGTGTTCCCGCCAAGTTCAGTCACACCACGGCGTCCTGTCACGGGTACACCTGTGTGAGAACGGTCCCATTGTCCTTCAGATGTTGCCCAACAGGAAATGTGTCGACCCGATCCGCTTGGGAGTGAGTTTGCACTCGGGATGAAGTTTATTGAAACAGAGTCGTCCTTTCAAAGTAAAACGTCCTAGCGGGCAAGACAGTTCTCTCAAAAGCCCCAAAATTGTCTCAAAGAAGAATTTGAACTGATGATGGACCAAAATCTTCTAGTGGACAAGAAGTTCACACAAATGAAATAAAATTGCATCAAAGAAGTCCTCAGTCGGGTTACCCTATTGAATGCTGAAGTAATGATGATCTAAATCGTTCTAACGGACAGTAAGTTCTACACAGAAGCGTTAAAATTGCATTGACGGAGTCCTCAGTCCGGTTACTCTAATTATGAGGTTTTACTCAATCTCGAGACTAATTTATAAGAACAAATCGTCCGAGGGAGCGAATTCGGTCCCCAAACGCATCAAGACAATTTCCCATCAAAAGAGACATAATTGCACTACATCCCCCTGGGAAATTTGTTCAACTGTGCCTCGATCTTCTGCAAAATAACATTTAATTCATCATTTGTTCTGTTTATTATTATTATTGTAACGATCACAACTATAAATGTAAATGTATAATCATTTTACAGACTGATACCTCTGTAAATAGCTTCACAATTCAGCCCTCCACGGCTGCCAGGAGGCTTGTATATCTTTTGCTAAGATCTAATAAACCAGTCTACTACTACTACTACATCTTTATCTTTTACTCAGTTCAGTTAAAAGGTAAGGTGTCAAGTTTCACGGTAGTTTAAAACCATCGTAACGTCACAAGTCTTTGGAAATGTCGTAGCAGGTGCATTTTATGGACTCTAAGACTCGCTCCACGTTCCATACGTTAATCTTGATTTCAAATCGACACCTGTAATACCGATTAAACACGGTTGGCGTGAAGGATTACATTCTACGGACGTGCAGAACTTTAGTCCTTTTCATGTGTGCCGTGAAATCTTTTCCTCAATTATGATTGTCTGGGAGCTCGAGTGACGTAATCACCCTCACCCCCTCCTAATCTCGAAGTAGATCTTTTGGTGGCTTCAAAACAGTATCAAATTCAACGGTTAAGAGAATATAAAATTGGTAGTACAGTATACAGTACGCCACCGTTTAGTAGGCGAAAACAGGAAGATGTACCGGCACAAAACAGATATAAAGCCCGAAAAAACGCCTAAAAGACACCAAAACAAGTCGAATCCTAAACCTCTACTCAAAGAGAACCCTCATTCTTGTTTGCTGAGTTGTGAGTGCTTAGCTAATAGTGAAAGATAACAAATGGTTAAACGGCAGTAGCATCGTTTGGCACATGACGTGGCTTGTCTTGGTCCTCTTGGGACGAAGTTGGCGCCAAGACTGGCATCACAAGTCAACCTTCCTACATACTGTGAGTGTGACTACTAGACAGTGTTTTGAGGAAGACAGTCAATCCACAGTTGCTCAAAATCGTCCTTGCTCTAAGTGCTTTCGCGTGTTTCTTTACGCCGAGATGTCAGAAGAGACAAAAGATGTCTCCTTCTATCTAGGTCAGCCTTATTGGCCCGAAACGTCTCAGAACAAACTGGTAAACAATCTGACGGTACACACAATTACGGACAGTCAACCCAAGGAGGCACCAAACTGACCATCCTAACGGTCTAACACTCTACTATTAAAAATTCCTATCTGACCATCCTCAAGTGATTGATGGTCAATGGCTTTCAGTTTTGTAATCCGACCAAAGCCCGTGTAATCCAGAGTGGGCGATGCTAAGACTCAGATAATCCGAAAGCTTACCGCGTAGGTACTAGTAAGTGGATGGCAATGCGGTCGATTATGTGATCACCTATGGGCAGCCTTTTACCAAACGCCATCACTTAAATATTGAGAACGTTTTCTTTCACATGGGGCGTTAAAACATACACAAGCAAAATTCTAAAGCAATGCCTAATTGCCTGATCACAGTTGATTTAAGAAAATTATAATAAACCTCGCTTGTTAAGCAAACGAACATAAAATATTGACAAAAAAAGCTCAAAGGCATTTTAAAAATACTTGGCTCTAGTTCCTTTGAAAAGGAAACTGCGAAATTCCCAAATGTTGCAGCTGGGAGCTAACATCATGATCAAAAAATCTTTAAAAAATTTGAGAAATATTTCACTCCAGTTCCTTTGAGTCGGAAACCGTAAACTTCCCAAATGTTGGGGGGCAAGCACCGAGATCACCATCGGTCGCCACACATCGGGGATTTACCAATTGTCGAATTAGTCCTAGGCGTGTGGGATCAAAAAACCTCGAGGTACGGGGGCTCCCACCATCTGTGCGGGGTGACATTCTTCCACAAGACGTTTAAATACACATGGACGTGATTTACACGGTTACTTTAGTCTGGCAGTGTTCCTTAAGGGTCTCTTAAGGGCACCACAAAGCGTAATTCTTCTGGTTAATGATAGTGGGGGTGTCATTCTTCAAATGATTTGTTTTATCAGAGAATCTTTTCTCGAAAGGTCTCTGGTCTAATTAGCAAAGTAGAAGAATTTCGTCTGTCAATGCAACCTGGTAATTGATCTAGCCTTGGTTATGAAGTTTAAAAATAGGAAGGACGAACTGGCGAGGGTCCAAGGATCGTCCCCACATGCCGAGCGGCTTGTTCAAATACCGAATCTGACCGTGACCTCTGCGTAAAGTCATCTTTACGACGCCGTAAGACATTTAGAGGGACGGAAATAGCGTCCAGTGTGTGCTGTGTCTGTTTGGGGAAGGCTTTTAGGTTTATCAACTGTCCCGTTTGTGCGTCAACTTTCAGTCGTCAACATTTTTGCGTGGCGCCTTCCCGGGGCTGACTCAACACATAGAGCACGTTATCGGTTGTATAATTATCTTTTCTCAGGCAGTTGCTTCGTATCATAGCGGCCTGTTGTAGACTCCATCACAAATGACTGAAAAAAAGTGGAAAAAAACGTGAAAAGTGAAATACCGTAATTTAATGTAGGTGACCAACGTTACCTGAATATATGATCGAAGCACTTGTTTGATTTTCAAAGGCTACATCGGCATATGAAAAGTGAAGTTACATATAGATTTCAAGGAAGTACGGTTTTGAGTTTCTGTTGCTCTCATGGTCTCATGCACGTAGTCACAAAGTGAACTAAGTAGTAATAGATATCCAAGTACACATACATATGTCTTTATAGCTTTACAAGGTTCACTTACAAAGAACTTTGAAAGCACCACTACTGTATATGCACTTTTTGTTTGTCTTAATTTACAACGAGACAGAAAATAGTTCGCATTGTCAACGTAAAATAACCACCGATGCTTTTTTGTCAACGTAAACTTTAGCCAAAATGGCAACGCATCAAAAGTACTTTGGGTTACTTCAAGGATGCGACCTTAAGCTTTGTATTTGTTAGTATGTTAGTGAGGTTTAGTTGTTTATTATCTATACAGCCTCAATGTCCTCTTTCCTTTGCTTCCAAGAAAGAGCAATTAGACCCAAATATTTCCAGTGAGAATACCTCTTACCTTACACAAGCATGTAAACACACTGTATGTTTACCTGTGAGTACATGTTCAGTAAACCTTAGCGGTTTTGGTCGGCCTCGCGTCTACAACTTCCGTGAAGCGTTTCACCACTCTTAGTTGATGTGTGATCTAGTTACACTGGACATTCCACGATATACGCAGACTGTGAGCGATTTGCATTTCACTTCAAACTCCGACTGGACCATATCTGGTACCATAAATGGTACATACATGTACATGTACTGCTTTGAAGTATCCAGAACGTATATGAGAACCACGAGAGTACTAGTGCTAGTACTACTAGTCTACTACTACTACTACTACACACACTACTACTAGTGGACTAGCCTCCTGCTGTAGTGATTGCACAACTGTGTGGCCCAAGGAGAATAGAAACGGAGACTAGTACTAGAAAGTTAGGGACAAGAAACCCAAAACAAATATTTATGGCACGTAAATCAAATAAACAGAAAATAAAACAATAAATTATACACTTAAAGAAGAATTACAAAACCCGTAATTACTCAGTTGATAAATAAATAATAATAAAATAATTGATCAAAACATGACTTTCGAGTCAATACTAAGAAGGTGGAAACTTAACCTTCAAGAACAATAACAACAACATCCAGTGGGCGGATTTTAACCTTTTCAGGCTGTATACATGTATACGCAGGTAGCACTCTTCCGTAGGATGTTTGGTTAAGTGCGGAATGTTAATTGTAAATACGATGATAATACCTACCATTTCCTTCTCTACTGTGTTTGTTTCTAAATTAGTCGCAGGAAGAAACGACTTTGTGTCATTGAGATCAAATTCCGTGGGACCTAATGTTTTTAAGTGTGTACTTAGCGCGTTTTCCGGTGTACCTATAATGTCGACGGTTTTTCACAGGATATGAATGAGTAAGATGTATTTATAGAACCATCTGACGGCCTTCCTCTTATTTGGTTGCCCCACAAAATATTTTGATAGTCTAGGACGGTGGGTACATTATCTGGTCAAATGATTTCGTCTCTATATAGACGATAATGTTATCCTGAAGCTAACACTAATATCATACAGTCCAGGCCTAGACTTAAGTCTTAACTCATGGACAGAATTGGGGCGGCTTGAGTGTACGTGTTTTTCCGGAGCTTAAGACAGGTTGTCGTCACTTTTTGACGAGAAACGCATGTGTTTCTACTCACTAGATAAGATACCACAGTCTGGCTACTTGTACAAAACAACTCTAACGATAACAACAAATTGAACACCTGCACTTTAAAACTAATATCCAAAGCCTTCAGTTGGTTTCATGTACGTTTTCTTCGTTCTGTTACCCTTAAGAACATTGGCGTACGGTCCCTACATAGCACTATTGGCACGAATTTCCTCACACACCCTAAGCTAGATCCACCAGTCAACTGTTTCCAAGCTTGTTTTCCAGTGTTGTGCGTCACAGTTTACTCCAGGGAAAGGCAAAAACGCCGATTGTTTTGTCTCTAGATCGGATATGTTACCAAACACACGAGCACCTGTTTTGCCGAGTCGCCGTTGTTTGGGAATGACGTCATATAGAATCAACATGGCGGCGATCTGTTCACAATGGGGGACTGAGTAAACACTTTGTTGTAATCCTGAATGGCCCTCAGACGTCAAACTTTTATCGCAATATGGCACTCGTAAATGTCCCTACAAGTACTGAACTACGGAATGAAGTGTACAGCCTTCTAGGAATGTCTGTGAAAGCACCGTTATATTAGGACATGGCCATTGGCGTATGAGTATTAAGATATTGAGCAACTTACATGTACAGTTGGGACAAGGCAACGATAGAATGTACCGTTTCTCAGTGTATCAATGCTTCCAAGTACATTTTGACGCGTGGTGCTTTTATTGGTCTAATTTATCACCTGTGATCGTTGATTACGCTACGTGCCCCAGTTCCACTAGAGTCAATAAAGCACCTGTACGTCATTGTGAGAGTGGTAGAAAGGAAACGGCTGAAATGCTAGCAATCAGGCTACTCGTTCGACTTTATGACTCCGTCATGCAAGGCCTTGAAAATTCTCGCTTGTCCAAACTTTACACTGTACGTCACGGTACTTTTGACGTCAGTCATGGCCTCAACACACAAATTTACGACACGATTGGTAAAATTTGTAACCCACGTGCCCCAGTTTCACTACAGTCAATAAACACTTGTATGTAATGGGAGATTTGTAAAAAGGAAATGGCTGGTATGCTAACAATCAGACTCCTCGTTTGACTTTATGACTCTGGCAAGACCTTGAAAATTCTCGGTTGTCCAAACTTTACACTGTACGTCACGGTTCTTTAAGTACGTCAGTCATGGCCTCAACACATGAAATTTACGACACGATTGGTAAAATTTGTAACCTACGTGCCCAGTTTCACTACAGTCAATAAACACTTGTATGTAATGGGAATCTGTAAAAAGGAAACGGCTGATATGCTAGCAATTAGGCTCCACGTCTGACTTTATGACCCTGGCAAGACCTTGAAAACTCTCGGTTGTCCAAACTGGACACTTTGTTGCCTCTACGTCAGAGAACTTTTGACGTCAGCCATGGCATTTATGACTCGATTGGTAAAATATCTAACAGACGTCCGGTGAAACCTTTGCAATCTACAAAATGCCCGCAAACAAGGTCATTAATAGGTCATTAGCCTCGTGTTAAGATAAGTTCGTTCCAAGGGACTATTGCTGTGACGTCACGAGAACGTCTCTGTAGTCATGATTTAACTTTTAATAGGCATTCAATGCGATTTCAGGGAAATCCAAAACTGGATTTTCAAAGTCAATGTTTTGTGCAGTTTCAAACGCTCCAAAAATATGAAATGATGACGATAATGTGTTAATAAGGGATGGCAGTAAATGTCATCCAGAAACATATTTTTGTTTTGCCGCCTTAAAATTGCATTGGATGCCTCTATAACCAAGCTATGTCTGTGCGATGTGGACTTACTTAGCAGAGAGCTTGATCAAACTGATGAGTCAGTACTCTAGAGTTCTGAGAAGGCTCTACTCTTATCTTCGTGGACAGAAGAATCCCGTCTATATTTACATAGCGGCGTGTACAGGCATTCTTCTGGTCCGTCACTTTCAGTGACAGAACACGGAGAAAGTTTACACCTATCTCGTGTTCGAATGCGGAAAGAAAATATGTACGGTAGAGAAATTTGCAGAATGCTTGCCACGGGTTGTATGTAATCTATGTATCATGCTGCAGAAACGGTATGCAAATAAAGTCCTTTCAACCTACGTTTCTGACATTACAAGGCTTCATACACCGAAACAATTCAATGTTCTGAGCAAAATCTAATGTTCTGGTATGAATTGGGTCTACAATTTGGACGATTGTAGCCTTCGAGTCGCATGTTTGCGAAGTGAGTTCCAAGTTAGCAGGATGTTATACACAGAAACAAGTCAATTTTCCTTAATTTGCTCGTTTCTGTCAACATTTTGGTGATGTACACTTCCTTCTCATGTTAAGACACTCCCGTACTTGCCATACCCTACCCTAGCGGCACCTGTCGTGTTGTTTTAGCGTCTGGTCCGACCGCAGACAAATAAACTTCTTTGAAAAACATTTCCTGACCCTGAGGCAAGTGCACAAGCCGGATAAAAGACACAATGGCAGAAGTCCACACCAGATTCACTTAGACGCTAATAACTACACGGTCTACTACTTCTCAGTCGACTTCAATCGGTCTTTTCTGTTGTTTTTGGCAACACCTCAGAGATTGGGGGCTTTAGACACTTATGGAAGATTAAGTACAACAATGAACTGTTAAGTACAGCTCTAAGCGTATTAGAAACTATGCTAGCTTTCGTAAGTGTGTGTACATGTGTATTGATCTCCATGTGTGGCCCTGTATGTATGTTAGTTGTGTTTTCTCCCTATAACCCCTTGGATTAACCTAGCACGTTGAATTTCCTTATGGATGATCTGCATTTGTATCTATTGGCAATGATACAAGTCATTGCAAAGTCAGCACAGGCAGACTCAGCTGGTAATGGCTGGCCCTCACAAAAGCAAAAGTATCTACGTAGTGAATAAGCAAATTAGAATCTAAGGTAAAATGCAAATCCTGCTATAAAATACAAAACCATTACAGAATTATCAACAGTCAATTTCACGTTTTTTTTTCAGATCCGGGTCTTGCTGAATCAGCTGCCGAACTACCAGAGTGAGATCTATTGGGATCTCGTCTCCGTTCGAATGGCGTCCATGAACCAGATCCTGGATCCCTGGATCTACATCCTCTTCCGGAGAGAACTCTTCATCCGCGTCATCAAGATCGTCAAGGATCTGACGTGCAAGATCAGGCAAGTTCCGAACAAACAGGCCAAAGGCGGCGACAACAAGCGGGAGTCCGGCATGGTTACGTTTTCTAACGGCCACGCGAATCGGGCCAGCAGAGCGGTGGCCGACGCCATCTTTCATCACGCCATCGACGAGAACGATCACCTCAACTCTCGCGAGACTGGCAACGCGATCAACGGCGAGAGAAGACCGTCCGGGAGATCTTCGTTAGGCAAACGCAGGCCATCATGGAGAGACTGTTTACCGGCTTTATCTCCAAACGACGACCGGTATATCTATAGTTCCATGGAGGATGGTGTGTTTGAGGAGCCCACCACGAAGTTCGAGACTATAACTCCTGAAGCCAGCCCTCTGTCCAAGAGACAGACGAGAACTATGTCAGACGGGGCAGTCAGTAACCTCAGCCCGAACACGCTCAAGAGAAGGGCGTCGGGAACCATGGAAAAGTGAGTACTGACAACCTTTTTTCACTGGTGCCTTCTCATAACGTAAATGTAGTTGTGATTACGTTTTTCTACGAGTATACTCAGTAACGTTACTGATATAAATGAATATGGAAGTTGAACACACACCACTACCACTACCAGTGGACTAGCCCCATACTGTAGTGCTTGCATGAGCTGTGTGGCACAAGCTAGCTATAATATATCCATATTGTAGGGAAAGGATATTAACTAACTTAAAACTTTAAAAAAGAGATGCTATACAATCATATCTTTCCACTTTGCTACAATGTTACAACTCCTTACATTTTATTCTACAGGAGCTACACGTTCCATGGGATAATAGAACAATGAATAGAGCAGTGAAGAAAGAGGACCCCCCCAGTCAACCAACTAGACATCAAGAAAACAACAAACTCATGTAAAAGTGTAAAAAGATTAAGTGAAACTTCTCATTTTCTATACGCATGCAGCAGTGGAATCACACGAAACATAAAGCTTATGACATATGCATGGTACTTGTTTTCCAAAAGCCATCACACGCAAAGATATTACTGTACTATAATTATGAGATATGTATGCCGGTGGAATCTATGGTGGGGGAATTGTATACCCCTCCATATTTGTAATGCGCACAAGTTTTCTTTAACGTCCTGTGATACAAATCTTCATTACGTATGCATCGGTTTAAGAATTACCTGTAACGTATAACTTGTGCCGAAGTTATTGTGAAAGTGAAAAAAGTGAAATATTGAGTGAATCACCCACTGATCGTAACAGAGAGGACAGACGTCATGATGTACAGTAAAAGTTGTATTAAAATGTGAAAACTGCTCGAGATATATCTATGTTTAAAACGGTTAACTTGATGTTTCATATCCATGTCGCCAATAAGATCATTTTGCATGCGTGATTATAAGTGGAAAAGTGCAGTTTTTGTCTTGTATCGGCGCTCTAACTGGTAACGAAACAACTGGTATATTTTCCCAGTTAGCAGACAAAATATATATGAATGTACATAAGAAAATACTTATTACAGGGTAACTTTGTACAGGCGAATACGAAAACAGAAGTGTGCATAGCTTGCCAGCATTAAGCATCTACCGCAGTACATACATGTACCTATATCGTGCAGTAGATATATACTGTTATTGTGAAACTATATAGTTAATCTATACATTAGAACTGTAGTACAACGCTAATCTCCAAGCAGATCTTTCGGTGGCCACAAGACAGCATCAAATTTGATACTGTATGGCCAATGGATACTGTCTGGCCTATTTGATACTGTCAGATGTGCCACCGAAACATCTGCTTGGAGATTAGCACAACGCTACTTTTAGCTTAAGATGATCAGTGACAAGACCGCTGTGTATGATATGTGTTTGTATAAACTACTGTGAAGTGTATGTCACCGCAAATATTGGATGTTTATGTACTCAGGTAACCAAAATGTACAGAGAGAAATAAAGTATGTATACCCATTAAGACCGTATTTCTATGTTTATAGAGTTTTTGTGTGTCACAGTTTAGACAAGGCAACTCAGTTTTCCTTTGTAGAAGAAGCAGGGGATAGCTTAAGATAGAAAGGTCAAACTTGAAGGTCATCTTAGAAAGGTCTCTTGCCAGTAATGACAAGGACGGGCTCAGACGAAAAACAAACTACGCAGAATCATCACTATTTCTGAACTGAAACAAGCTGCTAGTGAGCCTAAACTTATGTCTCTTCTTCGCGAGCACAACAGTTACCAACCTTTCAAAATTCGTTACCCTAGATCACGAGATAGAAAAAAAAAGAACCGGTTCCGCTGCAGTACCATGACAAGCCGCTAGGGAGCCCAAAATCTAATCGTTTTTAGGTCTCATCAAGACCTACCGACATACTAAGTTTCATGAATCCGTACATAGCGTCTTAGGGTATCGTGTTAAACCTACATCCACTGAAACAAACAAACGCTACCACAAATATAACATTCTTGGTGAGGGTAAAAATCAACGTACGCAAAGGTACCGTTAAAATACAACAAAAACTGCAAGAAAGACACATCTAATGGAATTGAACTGCAAGTCATTGAAAGGCGAATGCTCAGTTCACTTCTAAGTTACAGCTAGCCATGAGTTGGAGTCTACAAATTGGCCACATGTTTGGGTAGCACATTCCAAGAACCACATCAAACCGACTTTAATGTTCGTGCCAGGCTAAAAAGAGTTGGACGTTTATGTAGCCTCTGACTCCAAAAGGGAACTACCACACCTACAGCAACAGTCCTACGAGGGTTGGAATTCCCGAGGCTATTTGGACGCGTTGGCGTGTAGTTTTAATTAGAAGTTATTTTACCGTAATTGTTTACACGACGCTAATGAGTGAGATGAGTACTTGCGTCAAAAGTGTCATTACGGATTCTATTCCTGACTGTTAGATATATCACGTTAACCGCGTCGCCTGGTGGACATAATTGACTGTCTTCCAGTAAGGCTACCGTCAAAATACTTTTTATTTCTTCTTGGAAAAGGGGGAAGCCGTGAAAGGCTCGCAAAGGGGATTGACTTTCTTAGGATTTGTTTACGAAAATGCTACCATCGAAAATCAAGAATGAGAATATTTAGACACCACATCCTCATTCTCTTGCACTGCTCCACATTTACTTCTCGCTAGATGTCGCCATTTCACTACTTACTTATACAAAGCAGGCCATCTTGTTGTCAACAAGTTTCTTATATGACACTGCTGTTCCGAATTGATTCGGTAGATAGCGCGATTTAGTCGTCAGCCATTTGACATGCCTTTTTCATTTGCATGATCTACATTGCAGGTTTTGGTCACAATAATATACTCTTGCAGCAAGCCACAATGTGGCAAATAGCGTCGCGAAGTAAATCGAAGGAAAGAACACGGGCTAAAATTTGACACTTTGTGACTTGCAGTCACTAGAGACACGTTTTACAAGTCAGATCTACGTTGGGAATGCTGTTCAGCACCAAGGACAAAACTGTATCACGGGGTGAGCTTATTAGTCCTGAACTTTCCTGTCTTCAGCGTTATCGCTAATGATCTTCATTTTTATTCCCGACCAAGTTAAATCAGCTTTTCGGTCAAAAGTTAATTGACTTGGCAGTCGTTCCGTGACTTTGAATGGGCCTGTGTGATGTAACATCTAAACAATAGCATTCACCATACACTATCATGGATATTTACAGAATAATTCCATCATTTGTATAATCTCTACCTAACAGAAAATGTATGCTCGCAGATATAAACAATCCGTTAGGGTTCCCAAATTCTAGTTATCTTGAGGTTTTATCAAGCCCTACCTACCTAACAAGTTTCACGAGAATCCATTCATAGCTTCTTGCATGGGATATCGTGTAAACAACAAACATACTCACACACCCACACACAAACGCTACAGAAAACATTGCGAAGGTAAAACAAAACACACTTAGACCCGTGCCTCGCCACCATCACATAGGATACACTCAATGAAAACACGTCTTCATTTGTACAACACGAACACATCAATACCATTTTATGTGTACCCCCCCCCCCCCAACACACACACAACGCC